GTAAATGGAATCGATTCTCTAATTTCCCTTTCTGTATTTTCATTGTTAGTGTATAAGAAAGCCACTGATTTCTGTACATTGACTTTGTATCCTGCCACGTTACTGAATTGCTGTATGAGTTCTAGTAGTTTGGGGGTGGAGTCTTTTGGGTTTTCCATATAAAGAATTATGTCATCTGCGAAGAGAGAGAGTTTGACTTCTTCATTGCCAATTTGGATACCTTTTATTTCTCTTTGTTGTCTGATTGCTGTTGCTAGGACTTCTAATACTATGTTGCACAAGAGTGGTGAGAGTGGGCATCCTTGTCGTGTTCCTGATCTCAACGGTAAGGCTGCAAGCTTTTTCCCATTGAGGATGATATTTGCTGTGGGTTTTTCATAGATAGATTTGATGAAGTTCAGGAATGTTCCCTCTATCCCTATACTTTGAAGCATTTTACTCAGGAATGGATGCTGGATTTTGTCAAATGCTTTTTCTGCATCAATTGAGAGGACCATGTGGTTCTTCTCTCTTTTCTTATTAATTTGTTCTATCACATTGATTGATTTGTGAATGTTGAACCATCCTTGTAGCCCAGGAATGAATCCCACCTGGTCATGGTGGATAATATTTTTAATGTGCTGGATAAGGAAGATGTGGTCCATATACACTATGGAGTATTATGCCTCCATCAGAAAGGATGAATACCCAACTTTTGTAGCAACATGGACGGGACTGGAAGAGATTATGCTGAGTGAAATAAGTCAAGCAGAGAGAGTCAATTATCATATGGTTTCACTTATTTGTGGAGCATAACAAATAGCATGGAGGACAAGGGGAGTTAGAGAGGAGAAGGGAGTTGGGATAAATTGGAAGGGGAGGTGAACCATGAGAGACTATGGACTCTGAAAAACAATATGAAGGGTTTGAAGAGGTGGGGGGTGGGAGGTTGGGGGAACCAGGTGGTGGATATTAGAGAGGGCATGGATTGCATGGAGCACTGGGTATGGTACAAAAACAATGAATACTGTTATGCTGAAAATAAATTTTTAAAAATGATTTAAAAAAATAAATAAATAAAGTTACGCAGCCACACTCATATTTAGTTTACATATAATCTTTACTTCAAGGAAATGGTTCTGTGGTTTAAAACAAGTTTGAGAACACTCACCACAGTCTCTTATCCTCCTTGGAGAGATGGGAGATAGACAAAGTCACAGGAAAGCATAGAAACTGACTGAAGGTACCAGAGTCAGGACAGAGCCTGGACTGAAACCAGATCTCTTTGACAGCCAGGGCAGCAAGAATCCCTAAATATTTTCTAACGCCACTCTGTGATGAGCTTCTGCTCAGACACCTCCCTGGAGGGAAAGCCTCTAGGCTCCTGCGACAGTGCTTCTGTGACAAGTATTCAAAATATCTTCCTTGTTGAGCTGAAATCTACTCGTGGGCACAACTGGATGGCAGTAGGGAGCACCTTAAACATGCCAATTTCTTCAAATTTCCTTTGTCTGGGGAAATATCCCCCTATGCCCAGCTTTGAGGAAACAATTCTTCTCTTGCTTAACAACCTCTGTCATGAAAATTAAGAAATGAAACCAAAATAAAATAGTTCAGTAGTGACCTCAAGGAAATGGTTCTCTCCTCCCCCCAATATCTGCTGCCACGATACCTCCTTCCCCACAGACTCACTGGAAGAGTCAGGTCACAGTGTGACTGGAGAGAGAAATGCAAAGCCAGCTTCTGGTGGGGATAGACCTGAAGGAAGGCCACATCTTCCTCATTTGTTTCAGGAACATGTTTTGGGATGGCTCTGCCTTCCAGTACCAAACTTCATGGACTTAGAGAACTGTCAGGGTTTATTACCTATCTGTATCCCACATGATACTGCTTTGACCATGAAAGATGTACAGCTCTACGTTTCTTTTTTTCGTAGGCTTATTGCTAGATGACGTTTCTTATCCCCAGTGAGTGAGCCTTGGGTAGGACAAGGAAAGCCAGATCTAAACACATAAGAGTCAAACTGGTATTTGATAAAGACAAAAAGGTGAAAGTAGAGGGAAAAGAAGAGACATTACTTTAGGGGAAACAGCAATAAGAGTAACAACAACAACACAAAAGAATAACAATGGGGGGAAAAGTGTTTGACTATTAAAAAAATAATAATAACAACAAGCTTCCCACCAGAAACAACAAAATTCAGAAGACAGTCAAATGACATTTTCATTTTTTTAAAAGATATGTTTATTTATTTTAGAGAGAGAGAGAGCACACAAGAAAGGGGAGGAGCAGAGGGAGAGAGAGAATCTTCAAGCAGACTCCCTGATGAACACAAAGCCCCATGCAGTGCTCAATCCCAGGACCCAGAGATCATGACCTGAGCCCTTAACTGACTGAGCCACCCAAGTGCCCCTTAAATGACATTTTTAAACAGTTGAAAGAAAAATAGGAATAGGAAACCTATTTCTGGTTTTCAGCCTAGAATTCTCTATCCAGTGAAAATATTGTTTAAAAGGAAGGCAAAATGAAGACATTTTCAGAAAAACCAAGATAGAATTGTTGCCATCAGAACTGCATTGCAGGGGCACCTGGGTGGCTCAGCGGGTTAAGCCGTTGCCTTCAGCTCGGGTCATGATCTCAGGGTCCTGGGATCGAGCCCCGCATCGGGCTCTCTGCTCAGCAGGGAGCCTGCTTCCTCCTCTCTCTCTGCCTGCCTCTCTGCCTGCTTGTGATCTCTCTCTGTCAAATAAATAAATAAAATCTTTAAAAAAAAAAAAAAAGAACTGCATTGCAAAAAATACTAAATGCAGTTCTTTAGTCTAAAGAGAAATGATCCCAGTTGAAAGCAGGAAGGGAAAAAGAGAAATAAATGTATAAAACAAAACTAAATATAAAAGATTTTATATGTAAATTTTGTTCAAAGATTACTGATTATTTAGGGCAAAAAAATGCTTTAGGAATAATGGTATACACTAAAATGTATGACAAGGGGCGCCTGGGTGGCTCAGTGGGTTAAGCCGCTGCCTTCGGCTCGGGTCATGATCTCAGGGTCCTGGGATCGAGTCCCGTATCGGGCTCTCTGCTCAGCAGGGAGCCTGCTTCCCTCTCTCTCTCTCTCTGCCTGCCTGTCTACTTGTGATCTCTCTCTGTCAAATAAATAAATAAAATCTTTAAAAAAAAAAATAAATAAATAAAATGTATGACAAAAATAATTCAAAAGGTGGGGGGGAAGTTATATGGAAAGACATCATGACAAGTTTCCTATGGGAAGTGGTATAACATTAATTCAAAGTACACTGCGATATGTGAAGAATCATACTGCAATCCTAGAGTAAATGCTAAGATAATATATACAGGTATAAATAAAAGCCAATAAAGAGACAAAATGGGTGCCTGGGGGGTTCAGTCACTAAGTGTCTGCCTTCAGCTCAGGTCATGATGCCAGGATCCTGGGATCAAATCCTGTGTCCAGCTCCCTGCTCAGCAGGAAGCCTGTTTCTCCCTCTCCCACTCCCCCTACTTGTGTTCCCTGTCTCACTGTGTCTCTGTTAAGTATATAAATGAAATATTTTTTTTTAAAGACAAAATGGAACACAACAAAATAGGGCAGGAAAAGAAGGACAAAGGAACAAAGAAGAAATCACACAAATACAAATCAAATCCCAACAAGACATTCTTCAATCAATCCTATCAGCAGCTCCATTAAATGTAAACAGATTAAACACTCTAATTAAAGGGCAGAGATTATTAGTCTAGATAAGAAATGCAAGACTGAATTTTGTGCTGTTTACAAGAGAGACATCTTAAATTTAAAGACATAGATAAGATGTAAGTAAAATTATAATGGAAAATAAATATATCCTGCAACACCAATCCAAAAAAAAAAAAAAAAAAAGCCTTGCCCATGGAGAATTCTGTTTAAATTTAAAAGCAGTCTTTTTGTGCCAATGTCTACCTCATCCTCCTCAACCTGCTCTGATGAATTGCACCAGACTGCCATCTCAGTGGAGGCCCTATCTCCCTGCTTGAGCTCCAATACCAGCTACTAGACCAGCTCCTGATATGAACATCCTCCTCACACCACTTGGGTGTCTGCTTCCTGAACTGGGCTGCCCTTCTCACCTCACATTTATTCTGCCATCCTAAACTGGGCTGCCCAGTGTAGGGCATCCAAGCCCATGTGGGATAAGGAGAGTGTCCACATAGGAGGCCTGATGTGGGCACCTTCCTCACCTCACACAGGTTTGCGTCGCCACCCTCCAGTTCACTGTGACTCCCCACCTTGCCAGAGTCGATATTGGCTTCATTGCTTCTTAAGACAGTGGGGATCGAGATGTTCAGAAGTGACAATATTTTCACATGACTCCTGTTTTTATCCATTATGGGGAGACTATCAGAATAACTTATTTAGCAAATGGTATAGGGATATGAGAAATATAGTTCCCCAGACAGTGGTGTGAGGATATTGTTCTAGCTCCCTGGTCTCCATTCCCACTTCACATGGTATCTGTAGCTCATTAATGACAGTAACTTTAGAGAGACAGTTAAACCTCTTCCATTCTCAACATGTTTGGTCATAACAGAGCACATCTCACCCTATCCACAGGCTATGACCTCAGTTTAAACCAGTCACTGGTTTCAAGTCCTCTGACCAACTCTACCTACAGCTAAAGCATTATGGCAGATTGTCCTCTGCTGTGGTTGCCACTGTATGTCTCCCATCCCACAGGCTCTTCCCACATGACTGAAACACTCCTCCCACTCAGAAGTGGGGTCAATGCCCCTTCCTTTTTAACCTGGATGGAGGTTTCTGATTGCTCCAAGCAGGGGAATATAATAGAATGCAATGCCATATGACTTCAAAGGCTAGGTAATAAAAAGAACACAGCTTCTGTCTGGCTCGATTTGGGGGAGACACTCACTCTGGGGAAGCCAACCATCATGTTATGAGGAAGATTGAACAATCCCATGTGGGGACTGCATGAGAGGACCTCACAGAAAAGAACTGATGGGCCCAGAAGATGAGCACCAACCACTGGGCATGGGTGAGTGAGACTTCAGGTGATTCCAGTCTCCAGGCTTCAAGTCTTCCCTGACACCAAGGGGAGCAGAGGAGAGCTATCCACAACTTGCAGATTCGTGGGAAAGATAAATGGTGGTGGTGGTGGTGGTGGTGGTGGTGGTATCATTGCTGTTGTTTTAAACCACTCAATTCTTCAGTAAGTGAAGCAAGCCCTCTTCAACATTACTCCCACACCATTCATTCAATCCATCCCTCTAACTGTGGCCCTCACCATCCTTATCAGATCACTGGTGATTTTGACTCCTCCACCAGAAGCAAAGGATCTCACCTCCAATATCCCCGAGTCTCAAGAAAAGGCAGCTCAATGAAGGATCATCCTGATAGTCTAAAGAGAGCCCAGGAATAGAAAATGTTCTTGGATGTATCATCAAGAGGCTCAGATTACCGCAACTCAGGGCCCTACTACTCATGGATGCAACATCTTTAACCACCCCGCCCATAGTCTGTGGTTCCTATTCTCTGCTGGTGTGGTCAAAAGCTGCCAGTGCTGATGTGGTGACTGATAAATTATTTCACTTGGGCCTGGACTTGATCAGACAGCGATAGGAGGCACTCAGACAGAGCCTTATGTGATAAAGACTACAACACCAGAGAGGAACACAGTGGTTAGAGGACTAGGAGGAAGTACTGCAGCTCCAACCTGGGCAGCCTTCTTGGGAAAATGCAGCTGCTCCTACTCCTTGTGGCCTTTCTTCTGGCTCCCAAGGTTGAGGCAGGTGAGTGACTGTCTCCACCCGCCCCCCTCAACAGAGGCCCAGCCTCATCCAACTGTGGTACAGCCCTGCTCAGATGCTCCACTCAGGCACATCCTGGTCCTGCTGAGTTTTGATCCCACATCAGATCTGCCAACCTCCCTCCAAGATGGGCAAATCTGAAGCAGGATAAACACTCAGCATGAATGACAGGGCAGAAGTCTATTCCCAGGAGGGTGGGGCGGGGGAGCTGTAGGTCCTACTGTTGTCATCTGGAAATTGGGTTCTTATACAAAGGCATCTAGAAGAGTTGGAAGGTAGGAATGAGAAATAATCCCCCAGGAACAGGTAGTTTGGAGAAAGGGGCTGGCTTCTGTAATCAAAGCTAAGCCCACTAACTTTCTTTTTTGTTTTGTTTTGTTTTGTTTTTTGAGAGAGAAAGAGCATGTTCATGGGAGCGAGGGGCAGAGGAGAGAGAAACTTAATCAGACTCCACACTGAGCACAGGGCCCCCATATGGGCCTTGATGTCACCACCCTGAGATCGTGACCTGAGCTGAAACCAAGGGTCCAAACCAAGAGTCCTTTGCTTAAGTACGCCCACTAACTTTCTAACTCAATTTCTTAAAATCTATCCTCAAGCTCCACCCAGTTCTCCAAGTTTTGTCATTCTTATGCTGCCCAAGGAAGGAGCCAAGGACCCAGCTGGTCTCAGAGGTGGTGGCATCCTGGTCCGCTTAGTACTTAGGTTTGGTAATTTTTCAGCCACAGTGGGTACAATGGCTTTGGCAGCCCCCATATTTACTGGTACTTGGAACCACAACCAGCACTCCCTCAGAGGTTGATTGGGAGCCATTCCTTCATGCAGCTAAGACACTTCCTGGGCAGCTAAAATGTGTCAGGCTCTCAAGAAGATCAAACACAACTCAAAACATAAACATGAGCATTTTGAGTTCATGTTCCAATCATTACAAATAAGGAACAGCTCAGTAAAGTCTGGGAAACAAAAGGGGATAGTGGACCCAGATATCAGGGAAAGGATTTTCTGGGATCTGTGGGGACTTCACTGTTTCTTCCAAATGCAAATTCCTTCTGCCACCATATGTGTCCACTGTAGGAATTAAGAAACAAGAACTCTTCTCTTTGTTAGAGGGAGAATCTGAGTCTTGTGGGTCATTTGGTAAGCCAGGAATGCTGCCTGAGGAACCCTTCTCGGTTGCTGTTGCCTACTACAGACCCTACTCTCTGCCACCCCAACTCCTTCTCACCTGTTTTAGTTCATCCCCATCTCTCCTTCTCCAGCCTTTGGCTCCATGAGCACAGTGGGCAGGGTAAACGATTTCTTTCAGGGAAAATAATCAGAGGCCATGAAGCCAAACCTCATTCTCGTCCCTTCGTGGCATTTCTCCAGATCCAGAATCCAAATAAAACCTGTGGGGGGTTCCTGGGACATGAGGACTTTGTGCTAACAGCAGTTCACTGCAAGGGGAGGTAAGAAGCAGTGCCTGGAAGCCCACCCTTTTGTTAACCCCATATAAGGATCCCTCTTCCAAGAACTGCCACCCAGCCTAGGCTGTCAAGAAGCAGGGGGTTCACAGATGCTCAGGCCTGGGGCCCCATCCCCTAGAATTCCTCTCCATCCCAGTCTTGCCCTGCCCTGAGCTGTCCCGTTTCATCCATGGCCTTTGGGCTATACCTCCTGTGACCCCCACCTCCCACTCACTCTCTGTACAGCTCCATCAGGGTCATCCTGGGGGCCCACAACATCAAGGAGCAGGAGAGGACCCAGCAGGTCATTCCAGTGAGAAAAGCCATCCACCACTCAGACTATAATCCTAAATATGTCTTCAACAACATCATGTTACTGCAGGTAGGGCCCTTGATCCACTGGTTCTTGCACACTTTATTCCTGGGGATTTTGCATCCCCTGTGATGTCATTCCTGTCCCTCATTCCTAGTATGACATTTTTACTTGTCCTGGGGCTATGAGGAGGGCTGCCCCATGACTGTCCCTGGAGTCTTTGTGAGCCATTGGTAGATTAGAATTCCTTTCCTCTGCATTCAGCTGGAAAAGGCCCACCTGACTGCCCATGTTAGGAGTGCACAGGTGTGGCCAGGGATGGTGTGCAGTGTGGCTGGCTGGGGACGCCTCAGCATGAACAGCACCTCTGGGGCCTGGAAACTGCATGAGGTAGAGCTTGAAGTCCAGAGGAACAAGCAATGCATCTCATGCTATAAAAACTCTACAACGGCACAACCTAAATGTGTGTGGGGAACCAGAAAAAGAAGAAGTCTTCTTTTAAGGTGAAATCCCCAGCACTATCCATGCCCAGCCCTTGGACAGACAAGTTTTGAGAAGGCACAGTGAGAACTAGCCTTATTGCTATGTCCTCAGCATTTCTATCCAATCCAGTCTCTGGTCCTATCTCCCTGAGGGAGGTAGGGAGGTGGTGAGAGATAGTCCCACAGCTACTTATGGGCAGAGGCTTTCTGAGGGAGAAAAGGGAGGGGAGTATCGGGGCCAGGCTGGAGCCCAAGGACCAAGGGAGGCCACAAGGCCTCCCCTGGCCCTGATCTCACCCACAGTCCCCTAACAGAAACCACCTACCTCCAGGGGTGGCAGGGAGGATAGGACCGAAAGAAAGTCCAACTCAGTCCTTCCTCCCTCTCCCTGCAGGGAGACTCTGGGGGCCCCCTCGTGTGTAACATGGCCCAGGGCATTGTCTCCTTTAGAAAAACAGATGGGGAACCTCCACGTGTCTACACCAGGATCTCAAGCTTTTTGCACTGGATAGAAAGAACAATGAGATGCTTCAGCCTGCAGGGACCAGACTGAGATGCCCCTAGGATCAATCTGTCCATCTTCTCTGGGACAGAGGCCAGAACTGCACTGGGAAAGGGGGTAGAGAGGAGGTTGCCAAGGCTTCATAAACTTCCATCTCTTGAGTGGAAATTAGATCCTCTTCTTTTATTCACCATAACATTTGTTAGTTACCTACTGCGTGTCCAGCCACCATCTGTTCACATTTCTCTAGAACAAAAAGTCATGTTGCTTTGGTACCCACATCCTTCCAAATACACCTCCCAGCACCACCTCCCCTGCCAGGCTGAATGTAAGGTCCATCAGGAAAAAGGAGACACTGCCCCAAGAAAAATGACCCTCTCCTAGAGGATGCTCTTATCTCATCCATATTGCCTTCCTACCTTATCCCACACCTACACCCCCACCCCATCCTACCCCAATATGGCAACATAAAGGAATCCACATCTGGAAGGACCACCTAAGAAGCTCTGGGATAGGGGGCCACTTCATCCTAATAGAAATGGGTGGGAAGATTCTGGAAAGCTGTAACTCATCCCATGCAGCACTCCCTCCCCCAATCAGAGTGGCAGCTTGGGAGCTTGGAAGAGTTTTGGGAGGGCCTTTCAGTACTCCCAAGCCTAGCCCAAGTGCAAGTCACAGCCTTGCCGTGGTCCCAGAGTCCAGCACAGCATCTGGTGTCCTGACGCCCATCTTCCCACAGTCCCAAACGACATTGAAAGTACTCTTCCATCTCGGTCTGATCCAGCCTCTTCCCACCCCATGCTCTTTCTGTGTGTGTGTGTGTGTGTGTGTGTGTGTGTGTGTGAATGTGTGTGTTCATTACAATAAAAAGTTGTGTTTAAAAGGTATCTTATGGTTTCAAAGGTGTCCTATAGCCTATAGTTAATTGAGTAAATTTTTTCTTCCATTTTTCAAAAATCTCTAAGTCTCTTCCATAAGAATGTATTCAGAAAAAATAATCTCATTTTTCTAAAACATCCACCTCAGAAAAGGCAGGCTGAAAAGAAAAAGTGGTTGGCTGAATGCCTGCCATTGATGAGTGTGTTTCGACTGTGGGAAAATGTACACTTATCACAGATTCTTAGTCTGCTCCAAAAAACCATCAGTATCTCAAGCTCTCTGGTATCCCCGGACCTAGCTAGCTCAGTAATTATTCCTGATTTCCTCAGAAATGGAAAAAGGGCCAAGAGACGAGAAATGGAGACATTCTTGAGTCAGTCACTGAGGGGCTTCTGAGGTACCAGCCCTCCTGCTGGCAGGAGCCACAGCCTTCACTTTCTTGTTCTTTCTTCTTGCTTTCACCTTATGACTCAGCAGTGGCAGTGCAAGTGTGATAGCTGCACCATTCTCACCTAACCCAAGCCAGAGAACTTCGACAAACCACCTTAAATGATGACACCCAGCCGTAGAGACACAGAGGTTGAAGAGGCCTAAATCAGTGAGCCACCCTTCTATCACTCCCCTAAGGGCTCTGTATCTGGAAGGAAGAAAGATCAACAGCTCTGAGGTGGGCAGACCTTTAGGGAAGATGCAGCCTCTCCTGCTTTTGTTGGCCCTTCTTCTGCCCCTTGGGGCTGGGACAGGTGAGTGACCATACCCATTCCAGATACCTGAGCCCATCCCACAAAACCCCCTGTACTCTTGACCCTTCTGCCCAACACAGTCAGAGATTGTCCTCAATTTGAGTCTAGAACCTTTCTGAACCCCAGCTCCTACCCCGAACTCAGACCTACAGGTCTGATGCTAGAAAGATGCTCAACAAAGATGGCCGGCAGGAAGGGTGCTCACTAAAAGGGTTAGTAGGGGTTAGCCTCCTTCTTATCACTTGGAAAGTGAATTGTTTAGAGAAAGGCATTTGGCAGAAGAAATGAAGCTACAAAAAAACAGGCAATTAAAAGCCCTGAATCTAAGCCAGGAAAGGTAAGCTTAGACAAACAGGCTGCAGTAATGGGAGGTGTCACTGGACCCAGCTTAAAGAACCAGTTAAATTTCCCAGTGCTCTCCACCCTCTCACTCCTGCCTGGGACAAGGGCCGGGTACAATCGATCTCAGCAGCAGCTAGATGACTATACCCAAAGCTCTATACCAGGCCTGTGGAGCCCACTGTCAGCACCACCTCCCCCTGCCTGCGCAGGGCCCTCAGCTACTTCACTGTCTTTGGCAGTGCCCTCCCTGACTCCTGTGGCCTCAAGTTCCACCAGCACTAACTCCACCCAACTTTAGCCAAAAGCTCACTGATAGCCATTCCCTTGTGCAACCTAAAAATGTCTACTGAGACCATGTGCTAGCCCCTAGGACATGAGGATTTTAGAAAATCCAACTCCACAAACTCAGAGATAGTTTATTAGAAAATGACACCCTGGGATATTAGCAGAGGCTCAGAAGGACCCGGGAGATTCACTGAGAAGCAAGGTATCAGGGGAATCCTGTCCATGATCTTTTGGGACTCCATCATCTTGAAGATAGATTTTTTTTTAAGATTTTATTTATTTATTTGACAGAGAGACAGAGAGAGAGCATGAGAGGGGAGAAGGTCAGAGGGAGAAAAAGACTCCCTGCTGAGCAGGGAGCCCGAGGCGGGACTCCATCCTGGGACTCCAGGATCATGACCTGAGCCGAAGGCAGTCGCTTAACCAACTGAGCCACCCAGGTGCCCCTTGAAGATAGATCTTATCTCCTCCATACATGTGTCTGAAGTGGAAAGTGGAGAACAAGTAATGCTCCCTTCTCAGGGGTGTTCTGAGGCTCGAGGTTCAAGAAAGAACATCCTGTTACATGAACCTGGGAGGACTGCCCATCCTGGGGTCCACAGGGTGCTGTAGACCCCTCGATCACTACCTTCCTAAACCTTCCCTCCTGACCACAGCCACCCCCAGACACCGCATCTTCCAGCCTTTTCTTTCAGAGGAGATCATCGGGGGCCATGAGGTTAAGCCCCACTCCCGGCCCTACATGGCATTTCTTCAGTTTCTGGATAATGGCAAGATGAAGAGGTGTGGCAGTGTCCTCGTGCACAAGTACTTTGTTCTAACGGCTGCTCACTGCTGGGGAAGGTGAGGGGCAGCAGCCAGCCTACACATCTGAGACCCCAACAGGGACCCCTGTCCTATCCCCAGTGGTTGCAGCCCAGGGAAGCACCAGGGCTCCTGGTAACTCAAGCCCATGAGAGCTCATCAGAGGCGCCGGCTGAAAGCATGGCTGGGGTGATAAAAGCCTGAGAAGTAGGACAGGTAAGCTTTGGGGTCAGAGGGTCCAATGTGAGAATAAGTGGCACAGCTGAGAAGAGAGGGACCACACCGGGCAAAAAAAAGCAGCCGTGGGGGATGGAAATATCCATTAGAGCCAAAATGCAAACTCAGTGTAATTTCATGATATTGCCTGAAGGCAAAAGAAACCTCAAAGAAGCCCTACCTTCAGTGTCGTTGAAAAAAAGTGGATCGAGGACCCATTTGTCACCTCGATTTCCCCCTTGGCTCCAGCCCTGCCTTGCCCTGGCTGCCACCTGCCCTTCACAGCCCCTGGTCTGTATCCTATGACTCCACACCCCCACACCCCACTCTGCTGTCTGTGCAGCTCCATGAGGGTCATTCTGGGGGCCCACAACATCAAGAAACAGGAGAGGACACAGCAGGTCATCCCCGTGAAAACAGCCATCCCCCACCCAGACTATAAGCAGAACTTCTCCAATGACATCATGTTACTGAAAGTAAGGAAACCTCCCTGCTGCCCTTGCTCTCCTGGGTCCACTGGTTCCTCCTCCCATTGGGACCTGTCTCCTCCCTCCTTCTATCCTGGCCACCTGGCCAGTCCCTGTGGCTCAGGGCAGAGAGAAGACAGTGCAGTCTCATCAGGGCATCCAGACCCCAAGGCCATTTTCTAAGCTGGACTGTCTCGCCTCTTCCCATCAGCTGGAGAGAAAGGCCAAGCAGACTGCAACTGTGAAGCCCCTCCGCCTGCCCGAGAGCAAGAACCCGGTGAGGCCTGGACAGGTGTGCAGTGTGTCCGGCTGGGGGCGGGTCTCAATGACCACCCTAGCAACCACTCTGCAGGAGGTGTCACTGGAAGTGCAGGAGGATGCGATATGTGCATCCCTCTTCCCTCGCTATTACAGTGGGGCCACCCAGATTTGTGTAGGAGATCCGGAGGAGATGAAGACCGCCTTCAAGGTCAGGCTTCCAGCATCTACCTGGACAAGCCCCAGGAGAGAGGAATTTGGGGCAGACTGGGGTGTGGGAGTGGCCCTATCTTCCTGCCTCAGCCTGAGAGCACAGGCAGCAGGGTCCACAAATCCAATCTTCGGTTCCCCCCTAAGTGGGTCAGGATGGAGGGGAGAAAGGATTCATCATCCAACAGTAGAATTACCCCCCCCACACACACACACACATTCAAGGTTCCCTTAGGACTAGAGAGAAAAGTTTGGCCCTGGAAAGAACAGTACCAGGCTAGAGCCCAAGAACTGAGAGAGGGGACAAGGCCTGCCCTGGACCCAATATCCCATGCAGCCCCTAACACAGACCCCCCCATCCCCAGGGCATCAAGGAGGACAGGACCACTGGGAGGCCAGCTCAGTCTTTCCTCTCTCTGCCCACAGGGGGACTCCGGGGGCCCCCTCGTGTGTAACAACATGGTCCAGGGGATTTTCTCCTATGGAAAACGCAACGGGACCCCTCCAGGGGTCTTCATGAAGGTCTCCCACTTCCTGCCTTGGATAAAGAGAACAATGAAGCACCTCTAACAGCAAGCATGAGATTGACTCCCCTCTGTGTTCGGCCATCTTTTCTGGGGCAGAGGAAAGAATCCCTTGGGACTGGGGGAGAGGGGGAGGAGGGATGGCAGGCCCATAATAAATGGATCTCTAGAGCGAATACGACTGAGGTCTTACTTATTCACTGAACCACTTCGGGTACGAAGCAACACTGCCCAGGCTATCTTCTGCTGCCAACTCCAGGCTTTGCTGCCTCCTTTCTCCCCCCAACCCCCCCCTCCCTAACCCCTATGCTGCTTAGTTTCTCATCAATTTCCCAATAAGACCTCTTTGGTGCTAAGCCCTCTGCGAAGGTTCAGCCTAAACTCTATTATAGAAAAGTTTCTGTCCCTGAAAAGTATCCTCTCTGGGCCTTAGAAATTTCTTAAATTCTCTAAGCCAACCACCATCACCAACCCAACAATTTGGTCAGTAGAAAGAGAGTAACTCCGGGGACCCAGGAGGACAGGGGGCCATGCCATGGGCACCCTGTTTCCTGTTTCAAAGGGCTCTCTCTTTCTGTGGGGGAGGGAAGTGGGGGACAGGGAAGCAGGTTTCTCCTGCTCCTGGTGCAGCTCCCCCAGCCTCACCCGGGTTCCCTTCCATGCCTTGCCCAGCACTGAATTTAGTCAACCTTCCTCCCTGGTTGCCCATCCCACACAGCCTCTGTTTTCCATCCTGGCACCTGAGTTGCCAGCCCACTGGATGCCCATCAGAGGGACCAGCGCCCACCTTCCAAATGGTAGGACGGGCTGAGTCCCTCCTCCCAAACCAGCATCCTATCCCCCGGGGGCTTAGCCTCTCTGGCCAATAGAGTCACTCTACAACCTCAGCCCCTTTCAGCCTGGCCTGGTCTCAGAACCTCAGCTCCCCCTACTGGCAACCTGGGTTATGGCAGCTTTGTGAGCCAGAGGACTCCAGGCTGCAGACCATCAGTAGATCAACTTTTGATCTCAATGAAGACATACAAATGGCTATCAGACACATGAAAAAATGTTCATCATCACTAGCCATCAGGGAAATTCAAATTAAAACAACATTGAGATATCACCTTACACCAGTTAGAATGGCCAAAATTAGCAAGACAGGAAACAACATGTGTTGGAGGGGATGTGGAGAAAGGGGAACCCTCTTACACTGTTGGTGGGAATGCAAGTTAGTGCAGCCACTTTGGAAAACAGTGTGGAGATTCCTCAAGAAATTAAAAATAGAGCTTCCCTATGACCCTGCAATTGCACTACTGGGTATTTACCCCAAAGACACAGATTTAGTGAAAAGAAGGGCCATCTGTACCCCAATGTTTATAGCAGCAATGGCCACGGTCGCCAAACTGTGGAAAGAACCAAGATGCCCTTCAATGGATGAATGGATAAGGAAGATGTGGTCCATATACACTATGGAGTATTATGCCTCCCTCAGAAAGGATGAATACCCAACTTTTGTAGCAACATGGACGGGACTGGAAGAGATTATGCTGAGTAAAATAAGTCAAGCAGAGAGAGTCAATTATCATATGGTTTCACTTATTTGTGGAGCATAACAAATAGCATGGAGGACAAGGGGAGTTAGAGAGGAGAAGGGAGTTGGGGTAAATTGGAAGGGGAGGTGAACCATGAGAGACTATGGACTCTGAAAAACAATCTGAGGGTTTTGAAGGGGCGGGGGGTGGGAGGTTGGGAGAACCAGGTGGTGGGTATTAGAGAGGGCACGGATTGCATGGAGCAACTGGGTGTGGTGCAAAAACAAGGAATACTGTTATGCTGAAAATTAAAAAAAATAAAAATAAAATAAAATAAAAAGTTGATTTCTCTGTTTGTGCCAGGCACTTGACGGGCTCTGTCCCTGCCATGGGGAAACATAGTGAGAAATGTCTCCTAAATTACCCTTCCACCTCCTTCCACCAAACAGTTCAGTTTTGGCACAAATGGATCTGTATTTAGAATTCGTTAGATGTACTATATGTTGGCTAACTGAACATAATAGAAGGGAAGGGAAGGGAAGGGGAGGGGAGGAAAGGGAAGGGAAGAAGAGGGAATGGAAGGGAAGGGAAGGAAGGGAAAGCAAGGAAAAGAAGGGAACGGAAGTATCCATGAGAAAGCCAGTCTTGAAAATAACTGAAATCCCTGAATTTTATCTGTAATGCACATTACACTTTCACATGCATGACTTTGGTTCCAGAAGGGCAATCTTAAATGGGAAGAAGTTTCTAATCTATGCATGGTAGAGGCCACGTCCTGAGGTGAGGAAGGGAGGGACAGCCTTATTTTTATTTCCCATGTAGAAGATATGAACTGCAGTCCACAAACCCATGAAATGCCAAATTTCAGGTGCAACATAGTTAACTGTCACCAGATAAACTTATTTGAGGGTCCTGTATCCTTTTCTTTTTTTTTAAATAATTATGAGTGGGGCAGTGGTGGGGCTGGAAGGACAGAGAGAGAGAGAGAGGGAGAGAATCTCAAGCAGACTCCCTGTGGAGCTCAGAGCCTGACCCTGGGATCATGACCTGAGCCAAAATCAGGAGTCGGATGCTTAAATGACTGAGGCCCCCAGGCACCTGGAGTCCTATATCTTTCAAATGACGCCAGTCGTGAGTTGGACGTGACAGAACACAGTAAATTCACAATAGCTGGACAACCGGTCAAACACTGATTCAAGTGGGACCACCATCAAAAAGGGAAAGAATTTCACTGAAAAGGATAACAAATAAATCACATGGATGTGAAAAAGCAAAATCCAGTCCCTTGAAAAATAAGGTGAAAAGCATATAAAAGCCAATTTTTCTCACATGACTGTGTGTCCATCCATCTGCCAAGTCTTTCCTGGAGCTCAGAGCACCAGGGTGGGTCAGTGTTTGCCTCACACCTGATACATGCACTTGATGGAGTATAATACACACTAGGAAGAAAAACTACCACCTTACAATGACTGTAGGAGCGTCATGAAGACTGGGCTCCTGTGGATATTTCCTCAAAATGATTTCCAAGTCAGTTCACACCTGTTTCTGTCCCTTGATTTTTGTGATTTTTATTTCCAGAACTTCATCCTATATAAGGTTTAAAGTGTGTGTGTGTGTGTGTGTGTGTGTGTGTGTGCACGGAAGTTATTCAAAAGGTGTTCATTCATCACACCATTCTTTAACAATAAACCTCCGACTGGAATCGGTATGAATGGCCAAAATAGGAAAATTGTGAGGGATGCCTGGGTGGTTCAGTGGTTAAGCGTCTGCCTTCAGCTCAGGTCGTGATCCCAGGGTCCTGGAATCAAGTCCCACAGCAGGCTCGAGTCCCACTGCTGAGCAGGGAGCCTGCTTCTCTCTGCCTGTTGCTCCCCTTGCTTACACTCACTCTGCCTCTCCCTCTCTCTCTCTGACAAATAAATAAATAAAATCTTTAAGAAACGAAGGAGGGGCACCTGGGTAGCTCAGTGGGTTAAGCCTCTGCCTTCAGCTCAGGTCATGGTCTCAGGGTTCTGGGATCGAGCCCCACATCGGGCTCTCTGCTTGGCAGGGAGCCTGCTTCCCCCCCACCCGCCTGCCTCTCTGCCTACTTGTGATCTCTCTCTCTCTCTGTCAAATAAATAAATCTTTAAAAAATTTTAAAAATATAAAAAGAAAAAAATTTTTTAAATAAAATAAAAAACGAGGGAAATGGTAAAGTATGGCACATTTACATGAATGTGCTATGCAACTGTTGACATCTACATTATCCACTGCTCTAGAAAACTAGGCTAAGGAGATGAAAGAAAGCAAACTAAGCTTAGAACATTAATAGGCAAGTTATAAAAAAAATAATAAATATTTGGAAAAAAGTAAAAGCTCACTAATTAGTACAAATCAAAAGAACAATTTTTTTGCTTCTATGAGAAAAATTCACAACAACTGAGATTCTGTATGGACATGGAGAAGATGGCATTTTCACACCTTATACACAAAGTTTCTTGAAAAAAACAAAGAGAAGAACAAAGGAGTCCTTGACCTACCCATCAACTGCATGGAAAAACTGGGCAAGGTCAATCCTTATAGATTTATTACAAGTCAAATCTTAGAAACAACACCAGTGTCCAGGACTAATGTGGGTATTTGTCATTTTTTTAATTATTTTTATTAACATATAATGTATTACTTGCCCCAGAGGTATAGGTCTGTGAATCATCAGGCTTACACATTTCACATCACTCACCATAGCCCATACCTTCCCAGGGATTCGTTTTTTTAAAAATTATGTACTACTGTACACTATGGAAACTTGAAAGTTATGAAATAGAATTATATTTCGCCCCATGGAAGAATGTTCCCAGGTATACCGAAATCAGAAGCACATGAGAGCAGTATATGCTATTCTCAAAAAAAAAAAAAATCAAATTTTTGCCTACACATATATTTTCCTTTTAGGCTTTAATTGTTCTTCCTATATATCCATTTTCCTATTTTTTCTGCAACTTTATATATTATTTAAATAACTTAGGGGCACCTGGGTGGCTCAGTGGGTTAAAGCCTCTGCCTTCGGCTCAGGTCATGATCCCAGGGTCCTGGGATCTGGCCCTGTGTCGGGCTCTCTGCTTGGCGGGAGGCCTGCTTCCTCCTCTCTCTCTGCCTGCCTCTCTGCCTACTTGTAATCTCTGTCAAATAAATAAATAAAATCTTTTTAAAAAATAACTTAAAAACCTGTTTATTAAATACAAATGAGATTTTAAAACAATATTCATTAACAGATATTTAATTAATTCATTAACAGATATTCACTAACAGAGAGAGATGTCTATGTTGGATAAAAACTACAGGATTCAAAACTAAATATATTATAATCACACCTCCATAAATATTGAAAAAAAATACAGGTGGAACTACATCTGTTAACAGTGGTCAACTGGGGAGAGGGGGGTGGGAGGGGCTGGGTAAGCCTGGTGGTGGGTATTATGGAGGGCACGTATTGCATGGAGCACTGGTGTGGTGCATAAATAATGAATTCTGGAACACTGAAAAGAAATTTTAAAAATAAATAAAAATTTTTAAAAAACAGTGGTCAATTGGATGGTAGGATTAAAGCTGACTTTTTTTCCTTCCTATTTTGTAATGTATTCAATTGTTAAATTTTATAATTAATAAAATAATTTTGGGGT